GAACCTGAAAATAATGGGGAAAAAATGTGGACTTGGTTTTGTTTTGTTTTTGATGTGCAGAATGGGCTGTCTCCACTTCACATGGCTGCACAGGGGGACCACGTGGAATGTGTGAAGCACCTGTTACAGCACAAGGCACCCGTGGATGATGTCACCCTGGACTACCTGACGGCCCTCCACGTTGCCGCACACTGTGGCCACTACCGTGTAACCAAACTCCTTTTGGACAAGAGAGCCAATCCCAACGCCAGAGCCCTGGTAAACCTGGCCCAGTCCACGTTAACTGAATACAGATTGAGACAAGCAAACCCACACTGATTGGCCGATGATGCCTACACCAGCAGTGCATGGTTCCAGATAATACAGTTAATTCTGCTAAGTTTGTCACCCTCCACGAGCTGCCTGCCTACTTCACACCTTCATAGTTTGCTATTAAATGCTGATGAGCAAGGTTATATTTAAGAGAGTACCAAGGTAACATTTCAGAAACTAGCAAGTTCCAAACAGACAGGTACAAAACCTCTCTGGAGTGATAAGCAATTTTAAAGGGAATATAGAAGTTGAAAAGTAGGAAATTATACAATAAGTTGTAGATACCACTAGATAAAGTTAGAATACAGGTGGGAAAAAGTTGAACTTTATTAATCTCTTTTTGGAAAAAAAACCCAGATTTTTAAACTGTGAACATATTTGACTCTGTAAGATAAGACACAACGTAAGCTTGTGAAGAGTTCACTTGGAGATTTTTGTTAGTGACTTGATTACCCAACCACAGACGGATAGAAGAGGGCCGCCCAGTGTATTACTGCTTAGGAAAATGTTTTATTTATTAAATCCATTCCAGGAATTGCTCATGAGAAAACTGCAGGAGGCTGTCCCTAGGACGGCTTCTGTGTCTCCCAGGGTCTAATATTGAATAAATCTTCCTTGCTTCACTTACATCCTAATAATAATCACTGGAAGTATCAGGCATGCACTAATTTGTGCCTCTTTTTTCCTAATTCTAAAACTAAAAACACATCCTTTTTTTCTATGTTTATATCAATTAAAATTTGTCTTCCATCAGTATTAAAGTTGAGAGAAATTATTAGAATCATCAAATATAAAATATTATTTTTACTGGAATTTTTCCATTGGAATCAATCTATTCATGATTATCTGGGAAGCCAAGATACTTCACATATCTGCAATTATGTGAGGATATTTATTTTCTCCTAGGGAACAAATGTTACTTTTCAACTAATTAGTAGACAATAAGCTTATAAAACATCCCAATCTAATAATCGCAAACATTTCAAATGCTTCATGTGTTTGTGGCTGTTTATATCTATCATATTACATAAGTCATAAACAGGGGAAACAACTTCACAAATTGTTATATCTATCACTCCACGTGAAGAGTAAGTTGTCATCAGCTGAATCAGACCATATGCTTTCCTGAGAACCGCTGGTGTATGAAAATACACGGTGTAGGCCGATTATCAGTCCCCACTGGGACATGCAGAACTGTTAACTGGCAGATTAAACATAACTCAACAAGGGATCACTGTTCAAATAAAAATATAACCAATATAATAATCTGTAAACTAGCCCCATAATGAGTAAATATGGGGCTAGCTTACAGATTTTTACTTAATTTCTCCAATCCCTGAGAATTCCTTGACCTAGAATGCAATGTTAGAATGTGCCCTGTTGACTTCTTCCCCACATTCATTTACCCTTGAGAGGCATCTCCTCCCAGTTAGTCCAGAAATTCTCTAAACTTTTCTCAAAAATATTCAGGAACTTAATATCATTTATTTTTAAAATAGACATTCTTCATAAATTTTTGACACACGTGTTATAAAAATGTAACATAAAATATAACTTCTGTATGCAAGTATTATCAACATAAATAATGATTTCTGCTAATTTGAAACAACTCCTTGCTAAAGAAATGGTAGCATACCTGAAAAATGTATTAACAGGAAGCCATGTTCTTAGAGTTGTAAAGCAAAATAGATGAACAATTCTTGTCCTCTGAATGGAGAATGGCCCTTCTCCAGAATGATACACACTTATTTTCAAGCTGACCAATCAGTTTACCTTAAAACATCTTAAAAATTCTAAAGTCTACTTGGTCCTCTAGTTTTCCTTCTTTAAACACCAGATCCATGCCTTTTCTCCACTTTCGTTTTCTCTGTACCCACACAAACTGAATTACACACAGGCTCACCACCTAGAAGCCAAATTCCTTGCCTACAGGAACACACCACCGCTTATCTTTCCGAATCCCAACACCTACAGGGTTTGAGGACACGGTAACATTATGTGACGATGTAACATTATTGCCTGCAATGTGCCAGCATGGAGTTGTGTGAGAATCGTTTCTGCATGTTTTCAACTAACTTGATTGTCTTTTGCACAGAATGGTTTTACTCCACTGCACATTGCCTGCAAGAAAAACCGCATCAAAGTCATGGAACTGCTGGTGAAATATGGGGCTTCAATCCAAGCTATAACAGAGGTAGAAAAACGTTCCAGCTTGTCACGAAGCATTCCTCCTCTGACTCCTCCCTCCCTTTCCTTTCACCCATCTCTGTCCTCTTCACTCAAGTCTCATTTATCTGAAGAAGCCCCACAGCCCCACCGGTGCAGAGGAGTAAAACTGCTGTTGCTTTGTTTCGCAGTCTGGCCTCACACCAATACATGTGGCTGCCTTCATGGGCCACTTGAACATTGTCCTCCTTCTGCTGCAGAACGGAGCCTCTCCAGATGTCACTAACATTGTGAGTATGGCTTGGATCAGAATAACCACAGGGAGAAAGCGCGAGAGGAACCGAGCGTTGGCGTGTGTGTAGACATGTCTGTGTGTGTGTCATCAAGGCGAGCAGCCACGCTTTGGGAAGGGCCCACATGATAACATCTTACGAAATGATTGCTCTCACTTCACGGACAAGAGCCTGGTTAGGGGAAGCTGCACTGGAAAATAAAATGGAAGCTATGGAATGAGACAGTTTGAGCTTCCCGGTGCAGAGGGATCAAGCTTGAATCTTAAGTGCATTTTTAAAAACAAAATACATTTTAAAAGATCCTCTGAAAGTGAATGGCAGAAATAGAATCTTTAGGGCTTACCTTAGTCGCCTGAGTTAATTGTGTTCCAGGTAATTTTTGCTAAAACATCAAATCAATACCATAATCAGCCTTAATGAAAGATTCACCAGAGATAGACTACTATCAGGAATTTTACTTAATATTAAATTCTTCCTTCCAAGTTCTACTGTGTATCCTGAAATGATTATTTGGTCTCTAGATTATTTTCTGTCTGTCAACAAATATTGGAAATCTCAGAATTCTACTACCTACTTTAAATTAGTATTTTTGCTTCTAATTTCTTTATATTCCTCTCATTTTCCTGGATCCTGCCCCCTTAAACTTTGGTCATTGGATCATGGCAAGCTTAACTAATGCACATTTTCTCCTGAGCAAGAAAACCTTACACAAAGTGAAGTCCTGTATTTACAGTTCAGGAGGGGCCACTGGAATACTGAGATTCACCTGTGCAACAGAAACGATTCTAGCAAAAGAAATGTTAAGCGCTTAGGATTAAAATGAGTCCTTTTCAAAAGCAATTGATTGACTATTATTGCTAACTTTTGGTATCTCACCTCATTTAAGTTATGAAACAGAATATCCAATTTCGCTTTTCACTTGAATTCACTCTCAAAGTCTCATTTCTCTGTATTTTACATGCTGATTATTTGCTAAAGTTTTTGAGGCCAGGGAACATCCAGTGTGCAAATAAATTCATTTAATTTTAAATGCCATTTAATACACTATATTACTCAACAATTGGAGCAGAAGACCATTAAAAAATTTAAATTCTGTCTTTATGAGTCTCCCTCATTACACTTATTGGTCCTAGGGTAATACTAAGGTAATAATATTATATGCTAATTTTCAATTACTCAATTAAGCATAAAAGTAATTTTATAACATGCCAATTTGACTTTAATTTCTAATCTCTTAGAACTTTAAAAGACAGCATCTTTTTAAAGAGATGATTACCCCTTCTTTTTCTTAAATTAAAACCTGAACAGACTTACATACTGGCAAGTAACTTTCAAGAAAAATACTCTGTGTACATGCCCATTTTTTTTCTGTTGTCCCAATTCCTACAGACTTATAGAAGCAGTAGAGATCCTGTGTTAAATGATGTTATCATGTTATAAGAATGCTTGCAATTCCCTAGGCTCTTTTTTTTAGGGGAGATTTTTATACAACTTCAAAGAATCTACAATCTACATAAAATTGTCACAGGATTCTGTGGCCACTCTTATCTTGCTTAACTGACTGATTCCAATCTTTTGATGATTATGGAGTTATGTTCTTTTCTAAAAAAAAAAAAAAA